CAGGCAGCTGCATGAGGTTTTTTCTGAGTCTTCTATTCTAGTCCATAAGTCTACAGCTTTGTTTTTATTTTACAAAACAAAGTACCATGCAGACCCATGGAACCACACTGGTACCGTGCTGGTTTTGTTACTACAGCTCTGTAGTATAACCAGAAGTCAGGTATTGTGAGCCCTCCAGCATAGCTCTTTTTGCTTAGGGTTGCTTTGGTTATCCAGGGTCTTTTAGGGTTTTTGTTTTTCTGTGAAGAATGCCATTGGAATTTCAATGGGGATGGTGCTGAATCTGTAGATTGCTTTCAGTAGTATGGTCATTTTCACAGTGCATTTGTTTGGCCAATCCATGAACATGGGAGCTGTTTCCATCTTCTGGTGTCTTCATCAGCTTCTTTCTTCAGTGTTTCACAGTTTGAACTACAGGGATCTTTCACCTACTTGGTTAGGTTTATTCCTAGACATGTTTTCAGGTTATTGTGCATGGGATTGTTTTCCTGTATCTTTTCACAGCACGTTGGATATTGGTATACAGAGAAGCTACTGATTTTTATATCCTGCTACATTGCAGAAAGTGTTTAGCAGACTGAAGAGTTGTCTGGTGGAGTCTTTAGAGTCTTTGAAGTACAGGGTCATAGCATCTGCAAATAGCGGTAACTTGAGTTATTCCTTCCCTATTCCTTTAATTTCTTTTTCTTGCCTTCTTTCCCTGGCTAAGCATTTGAGCACTGTATTGAGTCAGAGTGGTAAGAGTGGACACTCTTGCCTCCGTCCTCATTTTAGAGGAAGTGCTCTCAGTTGTTCCCCATTCAGCGTCATAGCGGCTGTACAGTTTGTCAGCGTCATAGCGGCTGTACAGTTTATTATTCTTCTATTGCTAATTTCTTCAGGGTGTTTATCATGCAAGGATGCTGAATTTTGTCAAAGGCTTTTCTGTGCCTATTGAGATGATCAATTCTAATGAGGTGCTGTATCATGTTTATTGATTTGCATATGTCGAACCAGAGCTGTATCCCTGGGATGACTGACTTGATCGTGCTGTATGAGCTTAGTGTATTTTTTAGTTTAGTTTGTATTTTTTGAGAATTTTCACGTCTACGTTTGTCGGAGAATTGGTCTATAATTTTTCTTTTTTCTGAAAAATTTGGAGGCTACTTAAAAATCTAAACATAGATCTACCATATGATCCAGCAATCCCACTCTTGGGGATATACCCAAAAGACTGTTACTCCAGAGGCACCTGCACACCCATGTTTATTGCGGCACTATTCACAATAGCCAAGTTATGGAAACAGCCAAGATGCCCCACCACTGACGAATGGATTAAGAAAATGTGGTATCTATACACAATGGAATTTTATGCAGCCATGAAGAAGAACGAAATGTTATCATTCGCTGGTAAATGGATGGAATTGGAGAACATCATTCTGAGTGAGGTTAGCCTGGCCCAAAAGACCAAAAATCATATGTTCTCCCTCATATACAGACATTAGATCAAGGGCAAACACAACAAGGGGATTGGACTTTGAGCACATGATAAAAGCGAGAGCACACAAGGGAGGGGTGAGGATAGGTAAGACACCTAAAAAACTAGCTAGCATTTGTTGCCCTTAACGCAGAGAAACTAAAGCAGATACCTTAAAAGCAACTGAGGCCAATAGGAAAAGGGGAGCAGGAACTAGAGAAAAGGTGAGATCAAAAAGAATTAACCTAGAAGGTAACACCCACGCACAGGAAATCAATGTGAGTCAATGCCCTGTATAGCTATCCTTATCTCAACCAGCAAAAGCCCTTGTTCCTTCCTATTATTGCTTATACTCTCTCTTCAACAAAATTAGAGATAAGGGCAAAATAGTTTCTGCTGGGTATTGAGGGGGTGGGGGGGAGAGGGTGGGTGCAGGGAGAAGGGGGGAGAAATGACCCAAACATCGTATGCACATATGAATAAAATAAAAGTTAAAAAAATTTTTTTCTTTTTTCTGTTGTGTCCTTATTCAGCTTTGGTATCAGGGTAATACTGCCTTCATAGGATGAGTTTGGCAGCATTTGTCCACATTTTATTTTATGGACTAGTTTGGGGAGCTTTGGTGTCAGTTCTTCTTTAAAGGCCTTATAGATTCGGCAGTGACTCCAACTGGTCCTGGCTGTTCGTTGGGAGACTCTGCTACTGCTTCCGTCTCATTGCTGGTTATAGAGCTGTTTAAGTGGTTTATATCCTCCTGGTTCAATTTTGGTAGGTCGCACGCATCTATAAATTTATCCTTTCTTCTACATTTGCCAGTCTGTTAGAATATAGGTCTTAAAATATTTCCTAATGGTCCTGTGGACTGTGGACTTCAGTGGTATCTGTTATAATACCTCCCTTTTCATCTCTAATTTTATTAATTTGGGTCTTCTGAGAGAGAGATTTTTAAAGAGCCCTCAGAGAGCTTGAAGTATGTTCCCTGGAACTTCAAGACAGAAGTGACAGATGGGAGAGAAGAGAAGAAGCCAAACGCAACCCCTCCCGACATCCCTTACCACTGTAAGATTAAACAGAGACTGACTTTGACCACACAAGGACCTCAGTGGTCTGAATACCGCATGAGCCTGCACTTCCGCCAGGTGACCAGGGAACGTGTGTGATGAGAAAATCATGGCCAGCCCTGTTTGCATTCAGAGGTAGAGGTGGCGGGGAAAACGAGGGAGGGCGGTGTTCTAAGAGTCCTGCATGGACTTGAGTGTGGCTCAAGCACTGAAGGGCCTATCTAACAAGCAGAGGCAGAGAGAGAGAGAGAGAGAGACAGAAAGACAGAGAGAGAGAGAGAGAGAGCTGCACAAAATAGAATTGATGGCTGTATGATAAATGTTTACTTTCTTAACGGTGATTATAATCTTAAACAAACAAAAATACCTTTTTTCAAAAACAGAGAACAGGAAGGTAAAGCAGATCCTGTCTGGGGGTTGGCACCAGCAGAAGGGGGAGGATATAAGGAAAGGGTGTAGGAGGGTGAATATGGTGGAATATTATGTACTCAGGAATGAAAATGGAAAAATGAGACCTGGTAAAACTATTCCAGGAATGGGGAAGGGAGATAAAGGAGGATGATGGAAGGGGGAATTCAGCTAAGATATATTGTAAGAACTTTGGTAAATGTCACAATGGACCCCCAGTACAACAATAATATAACAAACAAGTAAATTGGAAGGGGGAAGGGATGTAGGGGAGACTGAGGGCAGTTGTCAGCTTCTATATCAGGAAATCACTATATAGGACCCAAAAGGAAAAAAAATCAAGAAACAGTCACATAAACATTTTATTTAGCACAATGGAGCAAAACACCAAAGAAATAGTGAAAAGAACTGAAATTTGGGGAACCAATAGGGAGGGAAACTGCTGTTTTTCATAAATAAAAAACTTATGGTACCATTTTCTTATTAAAATTATGTCCACAGTGTTGGGAAAAATCCACTGTGCAGTTTGTCTGGGCCATGTGTGCAACAGAGGGACAAATGGACACCCAAGGACAAAGTAAATAAACATCAAGCAAACTCCATGCTTACACAAAAAGTTACTCAAAGTGGGCCATGGATTTAAGAAAAAACATAGGTGAAAACCTTTAGGGTCTAAGGCCAGGCAAAGAACTCTTAGACTTCACACCAAAATCTGTATCTGGAAAACCTGATACACTGGACTTCATTAAAATCAAATACTTTTGATCTGTGAAAGACCTTGTTAATAAAAAGATTCTGCCAACCACATATATGTCAAAGGACTTAATATTTAGAATAGGCAATGAATCTAAATGTGACAATATAAACAATCCAATCAGAAAATGTGCAAAGATATAAAGACATTTCACCAAAGATGATATATACTGATGGCAAAAACGCACATGAAAAGATGGTCAACATCAAAGTAGCTTAAAAAAAAAAAAAAAAAAAAAAAACCAGTGATAACACCGAATGCTGGCAAGGACGTGGAGAAATAAATTTTTCACATATTGCCAGAAAAATGTAAGACGGTGCAGCCACTCTGAGAGTCTGGAAAGTTTCTTTTAACTTACAAAAATAAAGTCCACCTGACAAGGATCTAAAGGTGAAGAAAGGGTTTTAAAAGCATTAGAAATAACTTTGGGAACAGGGAGACTTTTCTTAACAGAGTACAGTATGAAAAGCCATAAGCAAAAAGATTGAGAAATTGGACTAAGAGCTTCTATATATTCAAAAATCAGAGCTTTACAAAGCAAATAATAGCAATAAAGATGATAAATAAACAAAATACTTCAAAAACAAAGTTTAGAGGTATGTGAAAATCTGGGAGAAAAAAACAAACCTATTAAAATCCCCATATGTAAAGAGTTCTTATAGATCACTAAGACAAGTTACCTAATAGGAAATGAATACATGGTATAAACAATTCAGACATAATTACAAATGATACACTAAAATACAGAAAAACCGTTTAACTCTCACCAGTAATTATAGAAAGTCTTAAATTGTGTATTTATACATACGGCGTAGATACACAGTCACATAAGTAGACATGACACTCTTCATACTGAATTGTTAATGGTGGCTGTATCTGGCAGTAGCTGGGATGAGGGGACAGTCAAAATGACAATAGGGTGATTTATACCACTTGGATGTTTTCTCAATTTGATTAGTTTACTCAAGAATATACTTATCATTTATCATTAAAAATTAATGATGCAACCCTTGAGAAAGTGCCTGGCGTTTCAGGTGCTCAATACTAATTAAAACTTTTTTAATAATCAGTGGCCAATTTTGAAACATAAAGGGCAGGGTCTCGATGGTGTTTCCGTGGCCAAGGTTCACCTGAGGGCCACACTCGGAGGCATAGCATAGTGGCAGAATTCTTCCTGAAACCAGGATGGAGGAAAAGGGAAGCGATCAATTAACCAAAGAGGGTCTCAGCGCACTCGCAGAGAGAGCCAGCAAGGGGATGGTAACTGTGGGCGCAGGCGTCTTCCAGAGGGCACCCTGCACATGCAGAATGGCTAACTCACCTGTCGACTTCGCTGCAGAGGTGGCAAAAACCCCGTTGAACTCACTAGAGCTCCTTTTCACGGGCCTTGGCTTGTATTCCCGTTTGGGGAGGCTGGATGCACTGATACCCTGCAACACACGGCGGAAGTTGAATCAGACATCTGATGAAGGTAGCGATGCCTCCAAATGCACCTGGCTCTAAGCACACCTGGATCCACCTGAAGAACATCAAACCTAGGGGACAGGCAGTGCCATGAAGATGAGTGACTTTACGCACGGACTCCTGAGTAGCCCAAAGGGATGGAGGTGGCATCCCAAATGCAATTCTTCAATTACGCATTTGAGCTTCTCGGTGAGATTCGTCTTGAGGACCATTTGTCCTCATACGGCCCTTGAGAGGTTTAGCAAGTGCCAGGGACGAGCGGGTGTCTCTCCCCTCACCCCTCTGCTAAAGAGACAACCGTCAACATGTGACAACCGACTGCCTGCAGACGCGGGCTTCGGAGCCTGCACACATTCCCTCTCCAGTCATGGCACTGGTTTACAGGGAAATTCCTTCCGTGTTCATCCAGTATCACAATCCTATGTAAAACACTGTCCTGTGTCAAGCCTGCTCAAAACAAGGAGAGTTTTTAAACCCAGTATCTTGACTAACAGTGTTGCTGTGGGTACTATAAAGGATGTTAGTAATTTTCAGAAAATAGAACATATTGCTGGATCGATATATTGAGATGGCAAACTCTCTCTGACTGCCCATCCCTCCTCGTGTCAACCTTATGAACGCAGCCCGGTAATTTCACTGGTGAGATACACTTTGTACAGACATTAAATATTTTTCAGTATCAGCTCACTCTTCTCCACACTCCTACATCATCACCCCAGCTTGTGAGCGGGAGCTAAACCCCCAGTGAGCCAGCGAGGACGCAGGGAAGATCTGGAGGGGCCGACCTCCATGGCGAGTTACCCAAACACAGATCACGCATAAAGGGCTTTTCAATGGACAGTAGAAGGAGAGAAGCCACCAATCCCTTTCCCACATCTGTCCTGTTGGCCAGAACCACATACTTATCATCTGAGTCCCATCCCATCCCCAACCAAAATGGTGTGGAGGGAAAGAGAGGCGGGAAGACAGACAGACAGACTGGCTGGGACCAACTTGAGCTCTGCAGCCATGGCTGTCAGGAAGACGGAGGCCCTTACCGCTGCTGTAGCTTGTTCTGCAGATCCTGCAGGATCTCAGTGGACTGTCTGTGATAGTCTAATGCAGCCTCGATGAACACAGCCAACTGGCTGACTTGCTCTACCTGCAGCAGAAATGCAAAGTTAGTCCACGCAGCCAGAGGCTGTGCAACATCCAGAGTCACAGAGACCCACTCTACAGGGGAACCCAACTCTGGCCCCCTTCATTTCACCCCATCTCGGGGCCCTGTGTGACAATCAGTCAGGTCGTGGTACAGAGCTGGAGATGTTAGAAAAACATGCTCATATTTATTTGTGATTGTGAATTTGATGTAACTTAACCAAATGCCTTCTTCTCCAGGTGGGTGAAAGTTTACCCAGGAGAATTTTATGCTTACAGATCTGAAAAATGGACACACAGAGCTTTTCCAGGTGTCAGCAAAACCAACACTTAGTAAAGGAACTCACTTTGAGAAGTGTCTATGGGCACTTTCTAATTAAGCCAAATCAAGAGACTTAGTAAATTAAGTTGTTCCCAGCTTTGGGTGTTTATTACTAGCAGCACAAAATATTCCCTGAAACATATGAAAGGAATAAACTAGAAAGCCTGTGGCATTTCTCTTTCCCACAAATCAACACATTCGAGAAATTAGTGGCCAAGTTACAGTGGATGTTTAAGAAAGAAAAAAAAAAGCTGTATCACATAGGGAAAAGTCTAGAAGACATGAAGACACAAGTCTGGAGGAAGAATAATCTTCGGGAGAGCTTGTGTGGTTATGGATGGACTGATATATGAAGAAAGAACGAGTTAAACTTGTTTCTGGAAGCCTCCAAGACAAGCCCAAGGGTGCAGAGGTGACAGGATCCCCCCCAACATCTCCAGATCTGGACAAAGACACAAATCAAAATCCTTCCCAGACCTCCCCAAAGCCCACTTCACATTTTTCTGTACCACTCTCTTCAGCTTTGGGGCATATCCTTTGCTTGTTCCTGCATCCCCTCACCTGACCATGGGCTCGCCTGCCCTCAGAAACCCATGCATGCTGTTTTTGTGTGCTGTTGCCTATCTTTAATTTCTTCCCCACATGTATGATTTTAAACATGGGCTCCATATACACTTGGATCTTCACTGGTGACAAAACGTGGTTAACATGTGAGTAAGGAAACCCCATCTCACTGTGTTCACCCTACCACGCTCTGAGGCTGGGAAAAGCAGCAAGCCTAGTCTTAAATTTCCCAAAACCCAATAAACAAAACAAAGACAGCCTGGCCCCAACAAAATCCAAAGGATTTCTTAAATTTCACCTCTTTGGCTTTTATGCATAGCTTTTAAGTAAGTGCAGCATCACAGCCTTTAGTGTAATCATGGCTGAATTTCCCACAGAGAGAATTTTTCTTCCTTCAGTTGTTAGAGTCGTGTGCTTGGTGAAATCTACCCCACACTTCTGCCTTCAGTGGTATCAATTTGTCCTGTTTTAGACTTCCCTTTGAAATGTGCTGGGCGTTTTATAACTTTAAGGGAGCTGTGAGGGATAGCTACCCAAATATCCCATAGTGGGGTTGGAAGGGGGTGGGGTCTGGGAATCACCAGCTATTTCTGTGATGTGGCTAGGATATAAGATTATGTAATCTAGAAATGCATTTGTAAGGACATTTGTTTGATGACTAACTTTGGAAAGACAATGGATTCCAGGGCCGTTAAAGCTTGGGAGACACCAGCCATGCTACACAGTGCCTGCACACAGTAGGTACCCAGTGAAATTCCCAAAGAGGTGGCTACCGAGCTGTGGGTCTAATTGGCAGGGAAGACTCAGGGTACCACAAGGATCATTTGTCTCTCACTATGGGAAAATGGAAAGTTCCAGCTGTCTTAACTCATGAACATTCAGCTGTGTGCTGGGGTGGCCTCTCCTTCCAGGGCCACAGCTAGAATTAATACCTGGACAGGTAGAACCAATGTAAAGCAACAAACTCAAGCTCTGCAAGAACCAAAACCTTTCCAGAAGGTAAGAGACCTTTCCATGGGCCAAACCACTCAACATGGCAAACCCACCATTGACCTGGGATGGGAAGAAAGGCTTAACCCCACTTCCAGGCTAAGGCCTGGGCTCCCAGTTTTGGTGATGCCACCTCGAGAGCCAAATGGGAGAGATCACCAGAGAATCAGCTCCCTTCTCTGAACGTGGTGTGCACTGGCACCCACTCAGCTGCCTGGCCTGGCCTGGTCATTGCTGAAGGCAGGGCCAAACCAACTGTCAGACCACTTGGACATGGAAAAGGACAAAGCAGTCCCCTTCTATATCTAATTGCTGCCACTCCAAGAAGAGGATGGACACGAGCTTCTAAAGATACACAGTACCTGTGAGTGTCCTTGATTGTGATCCTCAGGAGGGGAAAGACCATAATGCCAGCACCCCAGTCCTCTCTGTCATGAGGTACTCAGAAACGCCAGCTTGTCACTTTTGTCATCACCAATGTCTCCCTCACCACCATGGCATGACCACAAAGATGGGTAACCACAGCAACAGGGTTGGTAACCATGGCAAAGGAGGACACACGAGGAGAGGGAGGAGAGGAAGACCAGGAGTGTGCACCACGCCAGCCCAGACAGTCCTGCAGTCATCTCATTATTCTGGTCTCTTCTCATCTCAATGATCAGTTTTCAGGAGTTTATGTCAAAGGGTTGAGCACAGACAGTTCAGGCATTCTGACGCCCACCAGAGCAGCCTGCCCGGTGGAGGCGTGGACCCCAGGAGGTGGACACGGGTACCCCCCTCCCCGTACTCAGCTCCCCACGGGATTCTGAGGGAAACACTGCCCTTCTACTGGAGCAGGGCCCATCCCAGGGGTTTGAGGCGTGACTCAAGTGATACAGTGCCTGCCTATCAAGCGGGAGGTCCTGAGTTCAAACCCCAGTGCTGCAACAGACACATAACAAAACAACCAACCAAAAAAAAAAACACAAAAAAACTGAAGTAGTAGCTCCTACTTTTACTAGGGCCCGTCTATGACAGACAGAATTCTTGTCACTGTTAAAAGAATGGGCAACCACTACTGACGAATAGATTAAGAAAATGTGGTATTTATACACAATGGAATTTTATGCAGCCATGAAGAAGAACGAAATGTTATCATTCGCTGGTAAATGGATGGAATTGGAGAACATCATTCTGAGTGAGGTTAGCCTGGCCCAAAAGACCAAAAATCGTATGTTCTCCCTCATATGTGGACATTAGATCAAGGGCAAACACAACAAGGGGATTGGACTTTGATCACATGATAAAGCATAAGCACACAAGGGAGGGGTGAGGATAGGTAAGACACCTAAAAAACTAGCTAGCATTTGTTGCCCTTAACGCAGAGAAACTAAAGCAGATACCTTAAAAGCAACTGAGGCCAATAGGAGAAGGGGACCAGGAACTAGAGAAAAGGTGAGATCAAAAAGAATTAACCTAGAAGGTAACACCCACGCACAGGAAATCAATGTGAGTCAATGCCCTGTATAGCTATCCTTATCTCAACCAGCAAAAACCCTTGTTCCTTCCTATTATTGCTTATACTCTCTCTACAACAAAATTAGAGATAAGGGCAAAATAGTTTCTGCTGGGTATCAAGGGGGTGGGGGGGGAGAGGGAGGGGGCGGAGTGGGTGGTAAGGGAGGGGGTGGGGGCAGGGGGGAGAAATAACCCAAACACTATATGCACATATGAATAAAAGAAAATAAATAAATAAATAAAAGAATGGGCAAATGACCGCATGTTTATCATGAAGGGGTCGTTTCTGAATTGTCACTGATGCTGAGGGGAAAAATGAGGTCTCGGGTCAGCCAGCAAGGCCACAGCTGCTGACACCAGCTTCCCTCAGGGAGTACTTGGCAAAAACTCATCACTGAGGTCACGATGAAGGTCATGGACAGAGCACCGGGGTGAGGCAGCGGGTCTGACACAGGCCCAACTCAGCATTTAGATCCAGCAGTCCTGGGGCTGCTGAGACCATTTGCTATGACCCCAAGAACATGTCAGATGTGTCATACCTGAAACATGTTTCCCAAGTACTTCCAACAAATCACTCACGGAATCCAAAGCAAAACAAAGATCTCGTTGCTACGGCATTTATAATATCAAGGGAAAATGAGTCAAGAGAGGCAGCAAATGGTTACACCTTTCCCATAAAATGCACAGAAAAATTTAAAGAAAAAACCTCATAGAGCCTCATTCAGTCTTCATGGTTTAAGGGCATGAGATTTCAAATTAGCTTCTCCAGGATTTAATGAATTGCCAGTTTGGGACATAATTTCCCCTAATATCACCACGGAATAAAAGGTAGTCATTACGTTTTGTTTGACTTGATGCAAAAGATGTTGGCGTCCCTCTTAATAAACTTGTAAGTCCAACACGGTTAAATAAACCCCAAATTTTCCCCACAAGTTGGAAGCCCAACAAATGGGTCCAAAGCTACCAGGGGCTGAGGTGGCTCCTGGCTTCCCGAGGCCGGGCGGAGTGCAGGGACTCAAGAGAGAGGCAGGAGGTCAGAGCCTCTTCCGCCCAGGCAGGAAACGTGAGGAAGGGAGGCCCTGGGCCTCCACCCCGCCAGCTCTGTTTCACCCATGAGAATCACCGCACATTAGAATACTGGCGTCTCTGGCGGTGTCCCCAAGGCCTTGAGAGTCCCCAAGTTCACAAGCACCAACATGGAAGAGCTGGAAGATGGAGGTCACACTTCTACATGCTCCCTGTGATGGGGACAGGCCTCACCCTACAAAACAGGATGCCGCCTGACCTGGACACGATGGCCGGCCGGTCCCCTTTACGATGTTCTGAGGGGAACCCATCCCAGGGGGCCCATTCAAGACAACCCCGAAACGATCCTGGTCTAGACAGGACTTCCCAAGACTTGAGATTTGCGTCAGGGCTGGCTGACTGTCTGATGTTATCCCTGAAGCAGAAGATAATTGTTCCAGAACATTCTGGAAATGTCCCTAACACAGTCACACATTCAGTGTTTCATTCATTCACATTAGGGTTTCCTGTTTGATTATAATACTTACATCATTTTCTAAAAAATTAAACATGCTTCTTTCAGCCAACTCCTTTGACTCTTCAAATTTTTCTACCGCTTGTCTGATCTCTTCGTCTGGTATCTTACCGACCCGCTTCTTTTTATAATCATAATCCAGTCGGCGGCCCTCCAGCTTTCTCAGGTGGTGCTGAAAAAGAGAAAGAAGGGCCTCAGAGAATCATTAACTCCCAACACGGTGCGCGCACACGTACGGCCTGGAACACACACACCATATGGACATGACCTGGCACACACACGGCCTGGCACACACACTGTATGGTGCACACACACGGCCTGGTACACATACTGTATGGTGCACACACACGGCCTGGTACACACACACCATGTGGACATGGCCTGGCACACACACGGCCTGGTACACACACCGTATGGTGCACACACCATATGGACATGGCCTGGCCACACAAGGCCTGGCACACACACCGTATGGTGCACACACAAGGCCTGGCACACACACCGTATGGTGCACACACACGGCCTGGCACACACACTGTATGGTGCACACACATGGCCTGGTACACATACTGTATGGTGCACACACACGGCCTGGTACACACACACCATGTGGACATGGCCTGGCACACACACGGCCTGGCACACACACCGTATGGTGCACACACACGCACACAGCCTGGCACGCACAACGGCCCTGGGTCACGCCACAGACCATTGGTGCAACACACATGGCCCTGGCACGCACAAACAGCCCTAGCTTCAACACACCATATGGTGCACAAACACAGCCTGGAACACACACACCAGATGGACATGGCCTGGCACGCACACCATATGGTGCACACACACGGCCTGGCACACACAAGGCCTGGCACACACACTGTATGGTGCACACACACGGCCTGGTACACACACCGTATGGTGCACACACCATATGGACATGGCCTGGCACACACAAGGCCTGGCATACACACCATATGGTGCACACACACGGCCTGGCACACACGTGCACACATGCACACATCTTTTTCTTTCTTTCTATGCGTTTATTCCATCCTGAGCACCTTCACATAAAACCAAACACTGAACTGACCACATCACTGTGAGATGCGCGAGTTCGGCAGTGGCTCCACCCTTAGGAAGAGAAGTCATCTCGGACACATGGTGGATTTCACAGAATGAAACACCTAAGACACCAGTGCGATTTACTGAACTGATCAAAATAAAACGGACACCAGTGCGATTTACTGAACTGATCAAAATAAAACGGACTTTGCAAAGCAAGGCTGCAAGGTTGCTGCAGCTTATGCTAGGGACAACAGGCACACAGGACCTCCTGAAGCCTCTCCCTTTCAGAGGGAGAGAGATGTGATTAGCGGCTTTAGTAACTGTACATTGTGTGCACATTCCAGCAATTCTTCGCTTCTATAAAAACAGTCACTGCTTTTTCTCAACCTACACTCCAGAGGTGGGGGCCCACTGGACCCTTCTGCAGTGGATGCCTTAGCATCTGGTGGAGGCTGTCCCCGCTGCCTGTGCTCGGGCATGTTTGCAAAACGACAAACGAACGGCTGGTGGGTGACAGCATGAGAAGTCCCTGGCAGTGTAGAATTCCTGGGGCTCTTTTTGTTCATTTACAAGACCACCACCAAGCAAGGAGCTTGTCTACAGGGGCCTGAAAGTCCCCAAGCACGCACTGGAAGATTGTTTCTAACAGTTTTGCAGGTGAAAAATGTCAGTTCCTCCATATTGATTTCCTCGAGAGGTAACGGAAAATAATGAGCAGCAGTGCAACTGATCCAAAAATGTACCTAATGTTGCATGGTCTTGATCATCAAAAACCCACTACAAAGTTATGGCCTTGCTGCATGAGAAGTGGCTGCTGAAGCATGGGTATTTAGCCTGGCTTCTCACTGGCTCCAGTGGAGGAAACTGGCTCCCAACCCACCCAAGGCCACACTCCCGTCCCCGCGACAGGCAGGCTGATGGAAGCTGGCGCTCTTTCCATGAGCTCATGAGCTGTTTTTCTCACTGCCAGCAATAAAAGGAAGGTTTCCCTGAGTCCCTGCAGAAACCTATAACCACAAAGAAACCTAGAAGTAGCAACAGGTGCATCCGAGCCTGGCTGACTTACTCCAATCTCTTTGAGATCTTTGTCTTGTAACAACTGGAGAGGATCAATGAAGGTCTGCTTTACGTTAATATCGAGAGAATCCTTCACCTCCGCCATCTGCTTCATGGCTTCTCCAGCTTCCACCAGTGCACACCCTTGAGCAGAAAGGACAAGCAATGCACATCTTCAGAACGACACCCTACATTATTTCACTGTGTCCCAGGTTTTTGTGGATGGTGGTATAAATAAGACCCTCCCTCGAGGACCTCTCCATTCCCGACTGAGGAAGAATAAGAACAAGGGGCGGGGGAGCGAAAGGCTTTCTGTGCCTCTCTACTTACTTTCTCTGCAAGAAATCAAACAGGTGGACAGAGCAAGGCACTTACCTTTTTGGCCACTAGATGGCGATAGGGCTCCTTTGTCCAAAAAAAAATTTTTTTTTTTTTTAAACCAAAAACTGGTACTTCTAGAAGCTGGCACCAAGGGAATAAAATCGCTCTTTGTAAACAATGAAGTGAAAGGGTTTATTCATCAGAGAGTAAGTGTTATCCTATAAAGATTACAGCAGAAACAAAGGAAAGCTCAGTCAGCCTCTGGCAGTGGGACTTTGTCCCTGCTCCCTTGCAGATGGTTCCCTGCTCCGATCCTCTCTGGGGTCAAGAAAGCTTGCTGGGGCCACAGCAGGGCCGCCCTGTCAGCAGGTGGGTGTGTCTGCTCTTGCAGGGGGCTGGCCAGCCTTCCCAGGCTTGGGCAACAAAGGCAGCTTTTGCTGGTGACACGGGGACCTCAGCCCAGGAAATCAACCTACTGTAACTCACAAGGTGCAACCAAAACAGGTGCTGGTGGCTGCACACGAGATGCAGGTGCTCGCTCTAGAAGACACCCCAGAAAGGCTCCGTTCCTCTGAGTCCCTTCACTGTCAAATGAGGGCAGTTTATTCACCCATAAAACAGAGATGGTAAACATCTGCCTCCTCCCACATTTTAAAAAGGAAATGTAGAGCTAGTGGAAGTGGCTCAAGCAAAAGAGCACCTGCCTAGCAAGTGTGAGGCCCTGAGTTCAAACCCCGGCACCACCACCAAGCCCTTTTAAAGGTGGCTGGGACTCTCGTTTGATCCACTGGGAGTTTCACTGCTCCTGGTGACTGCGTTTCCTGAACTCAAAGTTCCAGACAGTGTGGCTCTTCCTAGACTGGGGACTCTTTCCTCTCTCCTTCTCTCCCTCTTTCCTTTCTGGTCGCCATGAGGTGAGCTCCTCGCTCTGTCACACCTTCCCTTCCTCCATCTTGGACTGAAACCTCTAAACCCATGAGCAAAAATCAATCTTTTCTCCTGTAAGTTGTTTTGTTCAGGTACTTAATTTTGCCACAGCAACTATGCTGAGTTCTCCTGGAAGGCTTAATATGTTAAATTCAATTCACCCTCAATTTATCCTGACTTAAAGTGATCCCACTGAGAATGCAGTGAGCTTCTGCTTTTTGGTAGAGGAGACTTAAAATGAGATGGACTCCAAGAGACACATTCATTAAATATGCCATGTGATATTTGCAAAAAAAAAATTAACTAGGAGAATTTTTAGTAAAATACGTTTTTAAATATTTTAAAACTACAATAATTAACATGACACTGGCTCAAAGCAAGACATAGTCAGGAACGGTGGGGCGTGCCTGTAATCCCAGCATTTGGAGGCAGAGGCAGAAGAGCTCAAGTTCTAGGTCAGCCTGAGCTACAAACCAAGACCCTGTCTCTAGAGAAATGAATACGTTTTTTAAAAAACAAGTGCAGTGGCTCACGCCTGTAATCCTAGCCACTGGGGAGGCAGAGATCAGGAAGATTGAGTTTCGTGGTCAGTCCAGGCAAAAAGTTATTGAGACCCCATCTCAACCAGTAAAAGCTGGGCATGGTGGTACACCCCTGTCATCCAGCTATTCAGGAGGCATACAGCCTCGGCTCATGGCCCAGGCAGGCCCGGGTATAAATGCAAGACCCTATCTCAAAAACAACCAAACCGAAAAAGGGCTGGAGATGTGGTTCCAGTGGAAGGGCTTAGCAAGCATGAAGCCTTGAGTTCAAACTCAGTCCCACCATAAAAACCAGATATGTAAATAACAAATGTTTAAAAACAAACAGGATACTGATCAAGAACCAGAAGGAAAAGTCAGAAACAAGCAAACAATAAGTGTTGTCTAAGATAAAGAGCCACCTCGAGGCAGCTGGGAAAAGCGGGACCATCCACAAAGTGCGGGGACAAGTGGCTTTTTAAATTTATTGGGAAGCAACCTGGAACTCTGTTGAATAAACGCTGGAGCTCGGAGACGCAAAGGCGAGAAAAGGAAAGTGTGGGAAATGAGCTTGCACAACCAGGTCATCAGGGAGTGGAGGACTCCCTGACCACTGGCTCACATCCACAAGGACAAGAACGGCCACTCGGACGGGACCGGCAAGGACACAGACAGGAAAACGACAAAGGAATGAAAGAGGGTTAAATCAGCACCACGACACCAGCCCATGCACTGCACCTCAACTGCTCGGTTTAAAAGTTGGCTGAAAATTCATTCCCAACTCACCATTGTGTCGGGAAAGAAACCGGCCCAGCCTGCCAGAGGCCTTTAAAACCTAAAATGTAGGCCCATTCTTGAACCAACGATTTTACTGTAGATTTCATTTAAATGATGTCAAAGAACATAATTTCGGTGATTCCCAAAGATTTCCATATGAAAACGGTTATTATCGATGCTATGTAAAATTTGACATGAAGGAAACATGTAACAACCGAGTGAATGAGGTGCACTGAACACACGATAACACCAGGAATATTGTGCAGTCTTTGTAATTAATTAATCTATAATTATGCCATGACATGGATGGTGATATAATCTGTGGGGAAAAAACAGGTTACAGGTTACAAAAGGGTATAGATACTATAATCCTGTTTTAATTTTTTTGGGGGGGGGCTGTACTGGGTTTTGAACTCAGGGCCTCACACCTGCTAAGCAGGCATTCTACATCTTGAAGCAAATCCCCAGTTCTTTGTGTGCTGGTTGTTTTTGAGCTAGGGTCTTGCTTCATGCATGTGCCAGGCTGGACTGCAATCCTACTTAAGCTTTCCCAAATAGCTGGGATGACAGCCACCCAAGCCCAGCCTTTCGTTGAGATGGGGTCTTGTGAACGTTTTGCCCTGGTCGGCCTCGAACTGGGATCCTCCCGATCTCAGTAGCCTGTAGCTAGGTTTACAGGCTTCAGCCACCTCGCCTGGCTTCCTGTTTCAATTTTTAGAGATATCGGTGAATGTCTATGAGAATAAACCAAAAGAACAAAGGATGCACAGCAAGTCACCTGGGCCTCTGGGTGCAGACAGGATGATGGGGACTATTAGAATTCCCTTCATTTCCACTCTAGTTAACATGAGAAACCTGCCAAGTTTTGAAGCAGAAGGTTCTGAGCCCATCCTGAGCCCAGCCCCGGCCCGGCCAGGTGACACGTTCGTGCTCACCGAAGGTGGAGTCCTCCCCGAGCTCCTTCCCGTATTTCAGCATGCAGTCCCCCAGCAAGCCCTCCGTCTGCGGGTACCCGGTGGTCTTCACCTGTCCTCGGAGCTTCGACACGGTGTTCAGCATTCCCAGCTTAGCTCTGGATGCTTAAAAACATCGTCATTTGTAATTCCTTAACGTCCCAAGGCGCGGTGACAAGAACACAGCACTTCACAGATGCAGCTACCCAAACCCAGGTCACCTGAGACAAAATGCCAGGGACCCGAGGCAGGCAATGGCCACGTGTGACCTGCTTTGGTTTCTCCCGTGACTTTCTAGACTCTCTACCAAGGTGGGCGCTAAGCACACTGTGCCATTGCCGTGATGGAACACCAAAATGGTGCCACAGGCTGTCTCCAAGTCATAGTAAGCGGCGCCCCCCGCAGTGAGACACCGCTGAACAGCTGACGTTTCAACACGTTGGAATAAGATGCCGAGACCTGCGCAGACCATCTTTGCCGGCCTAAGAACAGAACTGCTGGCTGGCTGTGTCAATCTGCCACTTGGTCACCAATACCCCCGACTGTGTCCCAAGAACTGACTGGGAAGAAGGGCATTCAAGGTCAAAGGGAAGAGTGTCGCATAGGGTCAGAGGCAGATCCTGTCACCCAGGTGCAGCTCCGCAACCTGTCCCCAGGGAGGGAATGGCAGTCCCTGCTTTTCTGTCCCCTGACTTGGGCAATGAGGACTTACTGCCCCCTGGTCCTGTGCACTGCTGTGCTGGTGACTGGGACCCCTGAGACGGCAGAGGCAGCGTCCACTCTTAAGGAGTTCACAGTGCAGCTGCTGGGGTGAGGACCACACGGTGTAAGTATGAAAATGAGGTCTGAACAATTAGGAACAATAGATGACAATGTGCCCGAGACAGATGGAGCAGTGTCAAGGAAGTGTGCGAGAAGGGGTCCCGGGGGCAGGGCACAAGGCGTGGGGCGGTTTGACCTAGGAAGAAACAAACCCAGGACAGAAGGAGCTGTCTACGGACAAAGCGAAGCCCAAGCTGGGCTCCATTCTGCAGGTCAGAGAGTCACTCACACACCAGTTGGGGTGCTGGGGGATTCACTTTTAATGAATTCTCAATCGGTGCTTTACCATGTATGCAAGTAGCCCTGCCATCTTGCTAAACTGTCGAGATTGATTCAGTCGGTCCTGGGCGAGCCCGAGATTCTGAATTTCTAGCAATTTCTCAGGGGAGCTGGTGTCACTGGGTGGTGGTCACGCTTTGAGTAGCAAGGCTTTTAGACACACACGGTGCCAGCCTGTTGGGCCAACCTCAGCCTCAAACCAGTGTATTCTCCAGACCCCCAGACTCAAAAGTGCTTCCCCCACCACTCACACTCAGTCACTCATATACCTACACCACACACCCTGCTCTTTCCCACTGTCAGAGTGAGTGTGGTGTGGCCTGAGCAAAGCCCTTAGACTGGACTCGAGGCCACAGAGCTCCCTTCTCTGGACTGGGGACTGTCCTTGCAGCCAGCAGTTCCCGTCCACAATTCCATATCAACTCTTCCAGGGTGGAGCCTGTGGAACCTGTGGAGCTCAGCATCCAGGAAGCCTCTTGCATGGAGGTGACATTTTGCTAGGTATTTGTGAACCCTGTGTGATTCATTGCAATTACTGATGAAGGTGGAGAAAAATACAATATCATAGGTGTTAAAGCCGTTAGCATGGTACAGCTAGAAAACTCTTCATACTTGCTGACATCCCTGCGTATATGTGATAAAAATTCATCTTAAAACTCCACCCTCTCAGCTCTCAGATGACTGGGTTTCTGTTGCTCACAGGGGAATTTCAGTAACTACATGCAAACAGTAACTTCCTAAAACACAAAAGGCTGCTTCAGAACCCATGGAGTTCAAGGTGTGGACACCTCTGTCAGATCCTATAGCTCACGACCTAGGGAAGCCTCACTACTGATGTTGCTTGGGGACCCAAGAATTGAGGAACTCCTGTGCAGAGGCTGATGTGACAGGGACCTCCTCGGGGTGATTTTCCCACTCATCAGGCCTCTTGACCAGTTGGGTCATAAAGTGAAAACCTTTTCAAGTGAGTGTGCAGGGTGGGAGAACGGGGTCCTTTGGAGCAGGATGGAAGGCTTTTAAAGACTTTTTAAAGAGGAAATCACTTCCAGGATGTTTAGTGACCTTATGAAGCATCACACAGAAGATGCATTCCTGGGGACAACCTTGTTTCTAAAACCAATCCTCCATCCAGACGACACACGCCCAAGCTCATGGAGGTATCTGTCCCATTGTCTAGGATTCACTGTGACTTCTTTATTGTCACCAGAGACTCAATTTTTAAAATCTGAAGTCATGATTGGACACATGGCAGGGGCCTTATTTCTAGATCATTGCACCAAATGCCAAGAAAACGGGGGATGTACAGCCCGTGGCAGCAAACGCACCCACAGCTTTCCGCAACATGCCCTCACGTTACCTGGATTCGGCTGGAGATACTCGGTGGCTTTTGAAAGAATTTCGGCAACCGCTTTATTGGTGACATCGATTTTCTTCAAACAAGAAAACACACAGCGATGTCAGTAAATGGGAAACTCGGTGAACTCCCAGAAGAGCAAGTCGAAAAGTATTTTTCATTAATTGAATACTTCTAACACCATTATGGTGATTTTAATACAAATAAACGCTTTCCATGTTTGGGGAAGGACAGTATTCTTTCTGGTTCTTACAAGGAACATCTCCTCCTTCAGTGACGCTGGAGAACATTGATTTACTTTCCTTTTTAACATAAAAATGAGTGTTTATATAAATTTAGAGCACTTGGAAAGTTACTGCTTTCTACTCAATGTGAGCCGTGAAGTTGAATTTCTGTGCGTACATAAGGATTACCGAAACAATGGCTCACGTCAGAAGACACCTGGTGATAACAAGGGACTCACAGTCATTAGCGTAAAAGCTAAAATAAACACGCTTGTTTGTGCTATGGTCAGCAGACATTACCATCAAAGATTTCCCTGCCAGGTTAAAAGGAATCTCTCCTTTTGCAAAACTGTTCCTTAGTTTTCTTGTTGTTAATTAGTAGAAAACTAAGTAGAAAATAAAAGCTAGGCACATAGTCCTAGCTACTCAGGAAGCAGAGACTGGAAAGATCAAGGTTCAAGGTCAGCCTGGGCAAAAAGTTCACAAGACCCATCTCAAAACCAGTAAAAAGCTGGGCACAGTGGTGACTCCTGTCATCCCAGCAACACAGGATGCATAGGTAGGAGGACCATGGTCCAGGCTGGCCAGGCATGAACTGCAAGATCCTGTCTCTAACAGAACCAAAGCAAAAAGGGCTGGAGGTGTAGCTCCCAACTGGTGGAGTGCCTATCTATCGAGTGCAAAGCCCCGAGTTCAAAACCTCAGATTGATAAAACCTCAGAAGAAGTTCAAACCTCATTATAAAGCAATGATACCTAATATTAGGTAATATACAGGTGTGGGATAATGGACCATTTCATGCACAATGGGACAGCAAAACGCTATGACCTTCTCGGAGATCAAGGTCAAAGTCCCCATGACCTGGCACAGAAGGTACTGGCTATTTGACTTCTAGAGATGTATCACATAGAAACGCAACAGCAAATTGTGTCCTATGTAGAATTATGCAGTAATAAAAGACTGATGGGATCAATCGTGAAATGTCCATGTTAGTGAAAACTCCTTATCATCAGGAAAATAAATACATAAGGAAGAGCCACATGGACTGGGGGATGCCCACAGCGCTGCTAAGGAGGAGAGTCCACTGCAGAGTGGCTATCGCGGAAAAAGTACATTTGTGTAACTTAAAAAAACTATGATCCAGTCAGGGTCACAAGGTCTCACCCAAGCAGTCCCACTCAGTCTTTAGCCAAATACCTAAATTTGGAGCCCAGGAAAGTTGAAAGAGCCAGTGCAGAGGTGATAAGTTACTGGGCGCCGGTGGCCTGAAAATCCTAGCTACTTGGGAGCCTGAGACTGAGATTCAAGGCCAGCCTGGACAAATAGTTCTCAAGACCCCATCTCCAAAATAACCAGAGCAAAAGGGACAGGAGGAGTGGCTCAAGCGGTAGAGTGCGTGAGTTCAAACCCCAGTCACTGAAAAAAAAAAAGAAAAGAAGAAGAATTGGGACGAAATGGTAAGTAATGACCCATGTGCTGTGTGTTCGTGCCTCGTAACAGGTTATAAACGATGGCCATCTTTGAAATGTGCCAGGGATTCTGACACCTTCATCTTCACACTTTGTTAGAGTTTTAAGAATTTTAAGTGCTTGGAGCAACCCTGTTGTGGATCTGATGCGAACCATTTGTAACTGAAACTTGAAATGTCCAGTTAATCCTATAACCGGTGGCGAATATTTAAGGACTAATTCAGTTAAAGCCTGTGAGTTAATGACACCTAAAATGAAGATGAAAAATCATTATTTTATGCCAAGATTACTAAATTTGTAAAGAAGATTCGTAAGTTCAAAGGTCATGAAAAACTAGGTTTTAGATTAATAATTTTAAGAAATCCAGTATTAATTAAAGCACAGTTTAGAGTTCTCCCTTTGATGTACTGAGCCTTCTTTGGACATGTAGAGCCCCTGGGAAGCTAAGAGGAACCTCGCAAATATGGAAATAGGGAATAGTCACTATTTCAGATCCTTTTAAGTCTTTTGGGAAAAAAAGCCCAAGAAACTGGACCCAAGTGTGCCAGAGCCTCACAGACGCCCTGAGGTGCCATATTGGAGCTGTACCCAAGCCAGGCCTGGAAATAAACCCCTTACAACAAAGGATGTCCGTTGGAAATGCTGGTGAACAGAGGCGGCCAAGAGGACTCAAGAAAAAAAATCTCGTGTGGTTTGGGCAAAGAAACAAAAACAAAACCCCTCCTGGAATAACGGGGAGGTCATGGGCGCCCACATGTGTGTTCAGGGGTCTTGGCAAGCCACGAGAGCAGCGGAAGGATGGAGGTAGAACTCACTTTTGAAAAGTCCACGTGGCCTGGTTTTTGACTAAATCTGGAATTTTCATCTGAGCTGCCACCTGCTCAGGACGCATCCTAAAGCCCCAGCCACCCCACTCCCCAAGGCCCACTCCCGCCCCAGAGGACTAGGAAAACGGTGTAAGTCACAGACTTAAGGGCTTACGGCTCTGAGAGCACCACGGGCTCTTTAAAAACAGAAAAGGAGTCTGGCTGTGGTGACATCGCTCTCTCTGCAGGGCTGGGACTCAAGCGTGCAAGCACTGACCTCCGAGCTGCACGTCCACCACGCTTCCTTTTGTTTTATGTCATTTGTATTTTGTCCCTCTCGGTCACGCTCAGCGTGACCAGAAGGTCAGCAGCTCTCACCTTTATTTTTTTATGTGGCCATTACATTCTGTTTTATCAATCTGTCTTCTTATCCATATTGCCGCCCACTTTCTACGTACCGTGGTTTCATTTGCTGGCATTTTCCTAGCTCTTGGACAGCAGAACGCAAAATGCATTTTTGTTTAGCCATGTATTACGGCTCTTGAACCTTGGATTCTGTCACTCGTGTCTAAGTAGTCTGTCATTTTAGTTTTTCTCTTGAAACCAAAATAATTTTGACATGGTTTTGAGTTTCCAAACACCCAGAATTTGGACGCTCTCCCTCCTGTGATTCTTGTGTCCTATGATTCGATGTTGGGAAATTCACCGAGCATTTTTTGGTAACATAATACACGATTGATTATTGTAACCATTCCAAAAGAATTGAAAAGAATGTGCATTTTTCCGTTTTGGGAATGAGGATGTCTACATTTACTTATAATCAAATTCATTAGCTATATTTTATGCAAATCTAACATGAACCCATTGATAATTGTCAGTTTAGTCTGTTTTTTAATGAAAGACGCATGTGAGGTCTGATTTTTCTCAGTTCTTGCGTATGTCTGACAGATTTTACCTTACAAATTTAGATGCTGTTATGACCTGTAGCTATTACAATTTCCTCACAGATTACATTCACTTCAACTTTTCATAGTTTTTTTTTAGAAAAGATCTTTTTCTATATCGGTCTTCTTTGCATCGTTGTTTTACCTCCATGCCGCCATTGCTCCTCTATTTTTGTGTGGTTAGGTAGCATTTGCCATGGATTTTTTTTTTTATTACATTGTCACTTCTGTATCATGTTCTGGGTGTGTATGATGCTCTCTAATTTATCTCCTCCAGGAAGTCTTGCAAATTCCTGCTCACAGCTGGGTGCAGTGGCTCAAACCTGTAATCTCAGCCACTCTGGAGGCAGTAACGGAAGGATCACAGTTTCAGGCCAGCCCTGGCAAAAACGTCACGAGACCCCATCTCAATCAATGAAAAGCTGGGTATGACAGCGTGTGCCTGTCATCCCAGCTGCATTGGAAGCTTAAATAAGAGGATCTTAGTCCAGGCCAGTCCAGACATTAAGGAGAGACCCTATTTTAAAAAATAGCTAAAGCAAAAAGGGCAGGGGCCTGGCTCAAGTGGTAGAGCTCCTGTGGCAAGCACAAGGCCCCGAGTTCAAACCCCAGCCCTGCTTCTCCCTCCCCCCCACCAAAAAAAATTCTGGTCACATAAATTCCAGTACTTCTGTATTACAATGAAACAGATAATGGATTTTTATTTTTACATATCTTCTGTTACTTTCTGGGGTTTTCAGAATGAAAAGACTAACAAGAAGGATTTCGGTACATAAAACTATAACTCCTGAAATAAGCTTTTAGAGTTAACCTTTGTACAATACGATAATAAAAAATAAGATAAATTTAACTTTTTGTTAGTGTTGTTTTTGAGACAGTCTTGCTATATAGTCGAGGCTGGCCTCAAACTCACGAGTGCTGGGATTAGAGGGCCAGCATACCCGGCCCTAAATTTAACATTTCAACAAACATTTTGCCGGTTATGAAGTTACACAGACTATCTTTGTATACTAAGAGATTATTATTTTTTTTTGGCAGTACCAGGGTCTGAACTCGGAGCTTGGCACTTGTGAGGCAGGCACTCTACAGCTTGAACCACACCTTGGGTCCAAGCTTCACAAGTAATTTCAGACATGTCAGTGATGTGAGCATGTTTCCATAGTTTTCAATTTTTAGAAATTAATGTTTTTTCCAAAATGAAGACAAAAGAAGCTTTTGCCCTCAAGGCAGTAACATTTCCAGAAACCCAAGACCTCTCATGCAGAAAGCAGGAAACTCCCTGGGGCAGAGACTGGTCAGGGCCAAGGAATTCTGAGCGAGAACTTGGCCAGCCACACAGCCTGGGCCAACTTCCTTCCCAGCACCTGCTGGCCTGGCCTCTGCCCCCGGGTCCTGGCCTGACCTCACACCCGAGGACAGATGCTATATGTCCTGGGCTCTTTCCTGGGGGAGGGGGTCTCATGAGTAGAATGTGGCTAAGTCAGAGTATCCAAGACAAAGGGGAAGGAAACTGGGCAGGCTGGTGATTCTTGGTGATGCTAGGGCTGTCCCCAGGGGAGACACTCCCAGTGTGGTAAGGGACAGTCTTCCTCTGAGGTATTTACTACCATTTCTGCACCAAGATGTCACATTTTTCAAGTTATTTCAGAAACATCAATGGTGTCCAAATTCCCATGGCATGCAAATGAGGCAGGCAGGGCACATCTGTGGATCACAGGTGAGGGCAGCCTAGCCAAGTTAACACGGCTGGCTCCAGTGCAGCGGTCATGGCAGGGCCCTGGCCTTCCACACAGGAAGTCAGCGGTTATTTACTTGTGCCAGCAACACATCCGAGTCTCCAAGAAGCCAGTAACTCTGGCCTTCCAGTCACAACCAAGATGGCGCACCTTTTGTGCATTCTGACTTCCGGCCACCAGAGGGAGCAGGTTAGCCACATCCCACTTCCTCCCTCAGCCCACTTAGACCACAGGTGAAGGGCAAGGCAGGGCTGATTTGGGGTTGAGGGTGTGAGAGCACTGCTCCTCGACTGACTGTACAATCCACACCCAAATTTAAACATCCTATCTTCCCACTCCGGCTGCCTGCCTTTACAGCAGCAGTCCGTCCCGTGTCACATAAAGCCGATCTCTGACACAATCGATGTATTAAAATGTCCTTACTCTTTCCATGTCAAGGAAATCCTCGTCCAGCTTCGTCCCTTCTTCACCACTTATTTTTTCACTAAAAAGCTGCAGAAATAAACACAAGGATCTGTATTACACAAAGATTTCTTATCAGACCTTCGGTCAACATTATAAAAACAAAATCCCAGATTTAAAAAAGTCCTTTAAGAACGTCATTAGCGATACTATGTCTCAAGTGGGGACGTCCGTCACACTTGCTCAACCCTATTACGGTCACCCTGCTTTTGTGCAGCACAGTCCTCTCGTGCAAAGACCAGATAGATCCTTGTCATTCAGCAGAGAGTTAGCACAGTAACATAACTACACTGAAGACAAGTGACAGAATGACTTTAAGAATCAAGTAGAGCGGTGACTGCTCTCTCTCTCTTCTCTCTCTCTCTCTCTCTCTCTCTCTCCTCCTCTCTCCTCCTTCCTGACACCACACAGGGAACACACAAAGATTTCTTATCAGACCTTCGGTCAACATTATAAAAACAAAATCCCAGATTTAAAAAAGTCCTTTAAGAACGTCATTAGCAGTACTCATGTCTCAAGGGGTGGGGGACGTCCCGGTCACACTTGCTCAAGCCCTAGTTACGGTCACCTGCTTTTGTGCAGCACAGTCGCTCTCGTGCAAAGACCAGATAGATCCTTGTCATTCAGCAGAAGAGTTAGCACAGTAACATCAACTACACTGAAGGACAAGTGACAGGAATGACTTAAGAACTCAAGTAGAGGCGGTGACTGCTCTCTCTCTCTCTCTCTCTCTCTCTCTCTCTCTCTCTCCCCTCCTCCTCCTCCTCCTGACACCACACAGGGAACAAGACCCCAACCACCCTGGTAAGTAGACAAGCAGCGCGGCACCCACTGCAATGACCAGTCAGTCCCGGGCTCAGAGTGACCGAGCTGACCAACACCTCTGAGCAAGGCCAGCCAAGGCCAGCCTCACCTGCTGACCCCCAGAACCCCGAGTCCAGTAAGCAGTGTGGCTTTAAACCACCAAATTCTGTGGTGGCTTGTTCCTCAAAAGAAGTTAGCGGTACACCTGACAGGGGCTCTGACTTCAGGCCAGGTGACAAAGTCAGAGTCATCCTGACGCCTTGATGCAAGGGGTGGCGATCGATAGAACAGTCAAGAATCGCCTTGCTCCACCCCACGCGGTGGTTTAAGGTTTTGTTGTTGCTGTTTCTCAGTGAAATCAGTAAAACGTTGGCTCTTACTTTTCTGAGACTTTGACAAAAGTTACACAAGCTTTCCTTCCATATTTTATTGCTTGGCTAGGAGGCGAGAAGGTGACTTTCTCATGGAGAAATGCGACTCTTCCATCTTCCACTAGTTTTGGCAAATAGAGGACAGGCCACCCGGGGCAGTCACTGAGTTTGTGCCTTGTAGACGTTTTATAGACAGAAAGAGGCCCCTTAAACAAATGAGCGCACGCCCCGAGGGGTCACTGTAACCAGCACCACGTGAATCTGCCTGGGCTCACCTGGCGGCGGGTGTTCGAAGCCAAAGTGAACTTGAAGCTTCAGCTCTGGTCAGGACGGGTGCACACTCATCCTCAGGCACTGACGGTGCTCGGAAGAGCAGAAGTGGCACAGCAAAATCAGAGAGATAAGCAAGGTCAGAGACAGAGCAGGCCTTCTGTGGACCTGGAAAGGAGCCCGATCACAGCGTGGCCGGACGCTGGAGGGACAGGAATCTGAATGGACGGGCAGGGAGTCTGGACACAGCTCTGGGCAAGGCCGGGGATGGAAAGGAAGATGGTGTAAGCCACATCTGACGCCGTCACATCTGGCAGCCCAGGGAGCTGGAAGATAAAGAACCCACCAGGTCGCCCTATGACTGTACATGGGTGTATAACGTCTCACTACGCACATGGATCTGTACCTATGTATTAAGGAAACAGAACAACTCAGTAAGGGTGACTAGCACAGAAGACCGGTCCCAACAGAAATGGGTCAGCCACGCAGACAGACGGGCCAGGCAATGAGGGGCTCTTAACCTGCTGCACAGGTGAGTGACACAGCACATCCGCCCTTCAGACCATGGGACACATGGCCCATAGTGGGAAGGACTGGAGAGGAGCCAGGGGCAGACAGGGAGGCCGTGAGGAGATGACAAGAGAGCTTCATGAACACCTTTCCTGGGCTGGTCTTGAACCATGATCTCTGGTTTCCCAGCAGCTGGAATTACAGGTGTGAGCCACCATATCTAGCTGGAATTTTTAAATTTTAAAAACACCTGAGGGCATCAAAGTAACCAAGGCAGCCACAATCTGTCTGAAGGGCCGAAATTAAGAGCAAAGGAAATGCCCAGAGAGGGCTATACATTTACAGCTGCTAATTCTTTGGGGGAATTTTCTGGCTTGAAACACAGGACAAACAGCTTCAGCCTGGCTCTTGCTTCGCTATCTATGCAGAGGAAAATCAGGATGCGTGGTAACCAAGGAAACCAGGAGAGACAAGGTCAGATTTCTGGGGAAAAGAGGAACCTAAAGAAGTAAGCCTGACGGGAATGTTCAATTTTCTCTCATGGCTTTTGACAACTCCATACCTGTTCACAAGGTACAACACTAAGAACCCAGAAAAGACACTGCCGAGAAGCTAACGACCTAAACAGGTGTCACAGTGTCACAGCAGTCAGAGATGGGACCCGGTGCCAAACTCTAAGAAAAAACGCCACCAAACACCCTGGGGTTTGAGCTTGCCTTGAAGGTCTAATGACTGCAAATAACAGACAGACAAGGTCCCCTAAAGCCTGAAAGGCATTCCCTGTGGGTATGGTGGTCACCAGCATCTACCCAGATGGCCTGCCAGAACCTAGGTCACTTCTGGAGCTCGCCAAGAACACTGTCTGCCTTCAAAATTAAAAAAAAAAGGTTACCAGGAGAGTGAGAGACACAGTGGAAAATTACAACCAGAGAACCGAGTAGCTGATCCTAATACCTGCCGAGTATCTTCATGGCGTGTATCAGATGCAGAAACACCTTCCAGTTATGACGGATCCGTTCCAAGATGGTGGATGCCAATGCAAATTTGGACCAAAAAAAAATCCCTGGGGGACGTGAAAAGAAAGGGGAAGTAATTCTAGATGAGAATTCAAAACTGAACTTAACAATTCTGCACAAGGGGCCAGTGATGATCAGAGATGGTAAACGAGAAGCAAGACATCCTGTGAACTGGAAGATAAGTCAGGAGAAAGCATCCAAGCTGAGAAAGAAAGGGGAAAGCGGATAAAAAAACACACACAAAAAAACATATAAATGCATCAGTCACTGTGAAAACACCTAACGCACGCTGTTAGACTTCCAGAACAAAAGGACAGAGAGATGACAAGCGAGATGTTTGATGAGGAGACAGGAAATTATTCAAAATAGAGGAAAAGTAGGACTGGAGGCTCAAGTGGTAGAGCACGTGCTTTGCAAGCGTGAGGTTCTGAGTTCAAATCCCAGATGAAGGAAGGAAGGAAGGAAGGGGGGAGGGAGGGAAGGAAGAAGGGAAGGCCTGAGCTGCAGATTTCAGCTTCTCTGTGAGTCCAAGCAGGGTGAATATGGAAAAATACAGCTGGGCTTTTCACGACCAAACTGCTGAAGAGGGAAAATAAGAGGAACAGAGAAGCAATCAGAGAAAAACACACAGCAGTCAAAGAAGCAGCAAAAGACCCTCAGCTCCCACTGCAGCAGAAATAATGAAAGGTTCGGGACACAGACATGGCAACCCAAAGCCATGACAGAACCTCGCTGCCAGCCAAGAACAGAGTAGGAACACATCTGCACAAAGCAAAGTTAAAGAAACAGTCATTGTTTAACGGGAAAATTCCTTGCCAACAGACGACCTTTAAGTAAAAGAAAAATATCTCGGCTAGAAGAAAGAAGTATGGAAAGAAAGAAACACTGAAAGATGGATGCAAATACCTGTGCACAGCTCAAATGACGGGGACATCTTGGGAGATTTTATATATACATTCACATATATGTATGTTTAATTTTAAAACATGAAAATGATTGCACAAAAGGCCTTACTAAGGGAATCGAGTTAAATTGCTCTTTGGTTTGTGTGTGTGTGTGCTTTATTTTGTTTTATTTGTTTTGTATTTGGTTTTTTGTTTGGTTGGTTTTTTTTGAGACAGGGTCTCGCCTTAAACTTGTGATCCTCCTGCCTCAGTCTCCCAAGTGCTGGGATTACAGGCGTGCACCATGACACCCAGCTAAGTTAAACTGTTGCAAGGTCTTCAGTTACTTGGAAGTAATAAAGTACTAATTAAACAAACACTCCACCACATAAAAATGCACACTGTAAATAATATACTTGTAAGTAATCACAATGTGATACAGAACTATCAAGCTGCTACAGGAGTAAGATGGATGGTAAAAACACTGAACCTGGGCACAGCAGTACCTGTCAATAGTTCCAGCTACTCAGGAGGCTGACACAAAAGGGTCACTTGAGCCCAGGAGTTCAGGCCCAGCCTGAGCACAAGGTGAGACTGTCTCTAAAATACGAAAAGAAAAATTAACAGAAATAAATGACTAATCAAAAAAAGGCAAAAAAAAAAAAGGGAGAAAGAAGAAAACACAAACTGAAGAAGACCGATAGAAAACAAAAAAACAGCATGGCGTATTTGAATGTGAAAATGTCAATAATTCCACTAAATGTAAGTGAAGTAAATACTCCAATTAAAAGAACATCAGCCAAGATCATAAAAAACAAACCGTACCATATGCTGTCTATAAAGGACGCACATTAGGTATGATCACAGGCAAGGGAAATACTAGGTGGGAAAAGATGCAGCAACCTACAGCCAGCATTATACTTAATGGAGAAAAATTAAAACCGTTACCTCCTAAAATCACAGGAACCAGACAAGGAATGCCCCACTATCTCCACTCCTATTCAACATAGTACTGGAATTCCTAGCCAGAGGCAATTAAGGCAAGAAGAAGGAATAAAAGGAATACAAATAGGTAAAGAAACTGTCAATAATATCCCTATTTGCAGACGACATGATCCTATACTTAAAGA